GAGGAAGAGAGCCATAAAGAAGAAAAAAGAGAAAATATGTGAGAAATTATAGAAAAAGGTATAATGGTGAACAAGAATCGAACTATATTAATAACAGCATATTAAATTAAATATAGACACATGGAGCAACCTCAGAAATAAATAAATTTCTTAAATTTTAAATCCATGCTAAACTGGATTTAAAAAATAAAATTGAACGTACTTGTATATAGAAAAAATACTTTCATTACTGAGGGTTGAGTCCAGGGTCTCATGCATGCTAGGCAAACATTCTATCACTGATCTAGATCATCAGCCTAGAAAGAAACACTTCCAATTCAAAAGATACAGAAAAAAGCACAGGATGGAGTCACAACTGTAAGAAATCTAGAGCTGCTACTCTACTGACCAAGGGTACTTCAAGGCAAGCTGTTACTAAATGTTACTTTCTGGCGATCAAATGATCAATTCATCAGAAGATATGAAAATTATAAACACATACTGTCCTAATAGCAAAGCTCCAAAACACACAAAACAGAACCTTAAGCTTAAGCTTTACAAAACTAGAGAGGCAAATAATTTAACCATATTTAGATAATTAAATATCCTCTTTCAATAATGGATATAATGTGGAAGAAAATCAGAAGGAAACTGAACATCGCTACATAGTAGAACAATCCCCCGAGCTGTCAGCAAATACACATTGTTTCCAAGGCCACTTGGACTTCTTGAGCTATATTTCACAGGGAATCATAAAATAAACCCCAGTTCTCTGTAAGTTATTGAAATCATAAGAAGTATATCTTCTCACAGGAAATGGATCAGAAATCAAATGAATGGGTGTGCCTTCCAGAGAACATGACAGGGTTGGGGGCTTTCCTAAGGCACGTGCATTCAGAATTCCTAGACTGTTGCCTCAGGCCAAGTACTCCTGACACACATGGCAGCAAATCCCACTGGCAAACAATGCCACTGGTGATTACAACTCCTTCATTTAGAGAATTCAGATGGTATTGAACCTGCTACCTACTGACAAGTGGTTCTTGGACACGTGATGATCAACACCTCATCATCAAGTAGTTGCTGCTGTTTACTTCATCTTATTCATTCTAAAAAACCCAATTGCTTGGGACTCTTTCCTGTGCCTGTCCACAGAAGGGAGTCAGATAAATAACTCTGGACTTGGGCAACAGAGAGGTATCCGTCTGTGTATGTTTCTTTGCCAATCGTTTGATAGTAAACCCGAGCAAGCGTGTATGACAGCTCCCACTTAGCTGGCAGCATCATGCCGCAGCCAAATAACCCTGCCCGCATAACCTCTTGCACAGAGGCTGGGTAGGGGGAGCACTGGGAACTGTCTTAAGGGGAAAAGAAGAAAAATATTTTGGTAACATATATCAAGTAATGGCTGGAAATACTTGAAGACACAATGCTTCTTGAAGATATACTATCTTTAGGGTATTTGTAAAGAGTTCAATAAAAAAAGAACTGGAATGAATGTGAGGTGCAGCTATGGATTGAGGCACAGTCACTTATGGGAACAAAGTATCCCACAGAAGAAGCTGATTTACTCTGCATGGCTTTGCAGGTTCTAAGACGTTATTAGTGAAAATTCTAGTGGCAAAGACAGTCTACTATGAATAAGGAAACAAGTGGATACAGCGTAAGTAAAGGCAAGGAAAATTCCTAGAAAATGATTGTAGGATATATATTATGAAGCCACTATATACTTATTTTTATGATCAATGAATGTAAGCTTCCTGGTCATTGAACAGGTAGGAAACTTTGCAAATTCCAACAGCTAGTCATTACCTTTACAATGATTTTCATCCCAAGGATATACACAGTTCTGGAGTCCATTGCAGACTAGTGTATTATTGATACACATGTTACTGTGGCAGAAGAATGTATTTCCTTCACAAGGAGCTAAAAGCAAAGAGAACAAGACAAAAAGGTTGTAGCTTATACTTAGTATTAAATCATTCATGTTATAAATCCAGAAATGAGGCTAGAGTGACAACCTGTTACAGGATTGAGATAACAACCTGCCACATGGTTCTCAGAAGTGCTGCTGCACTGGTTATTATTTCCTGTACTATGGAAACAGCAGGCATCTGATGGGTCGCAATCAGGGGATAAGAATGGCAAGAGATCTTTGCCCTCTTCTGTTTATTCCCAGAGGTATTTTTCCTTTTGCTTTTTAAGATGCTGCAGTCCCTTAGCAAAACTTAGGTGCCTACCTCAAGCATAACAAATTATGCTTCACATTTTAATTCCACATGTATAAATTTACTTTTATTGTGCAAAAAACACTTATTTGAAAAATTAAAATATTTTTTTTTTTGGCAGAACTGGGGATTGAACTCAGGCCTTTGCATTTGCCAGGCAAATGCTTATTCTACTGAGCCATCTCCCCGGCCCTAAAATAATTTTGAAAAATACATGCTACACACAGTTCTAATGAAGAAAATAAGTACTAAGTCAAACCCTGCCACATCATTTAAATATATGAAAAGCAAAGGAAGTAATGAAAATTCAGGATCAAAATAAAATTAATTCTGAAAAACATAAATAAAAGTTGTATCAGGCTCATAAATATATTCTACTACATGTGTATTTTACACATTTTAGTGGCAACATACAATGGACTTGATATTAGATTACAGTGCACATTTAAACAGAAAGGTAAAACCCAAGAAGATATGATATCTGGCCAACTAATTACCAGGGTTTGTGAGGAACACATATATCATAACAAATATCATATATGATTTTAATATTAGGAAAACCACGTTTCTTTCATTATACTACTAATAATAACAACATATTTAAAAGCCTCCATAGTACATTACCTTGTGGATACCAGCTTATGGAGCTTTAAAGCTAACTTTTATTTTTGTCTTTCTAAAGTTGCAAATAAATCATTGAGTACAATTTTAAGGTTTATTTTGTTCAATAATATATCTGCAGTGCTTTTACAGATAAATATTATAGAAAATGTAACTGATACATCCTACATAACTTATTGTAATTCATAATTAAGGGTGTACTAATGATGCATGTGGTCCAAGCACTTGCCATAGTATGAAGTCTTTATTTTCAAAGCTATCTATTGTATGTGTTTTGGAATGCTGGTTTCTTTATTACATTTGAGATATCATTCCAAATGGTCAGGAAATTACTTTTCATAAGGCAGGTTAGTAGCATTCTAATATTCCTAGAGAAATTCTGATAAAAAGACTAAAATCCTGAAAATCATAAGAAGGCCAAGAGAAAAGCAGCACCGTCCAAACGGCTCCTTCTGCTTTTCTGCACAAGCCGCATCCCAGAAAAAGTTACTTCTTCCTTCTGTTCATTTTTGAGTTTCTGTGTCTTGTTAAAGAATAAAAATCACATAATGGTTAGAAAGAAGTGAGATTAAATAATAAGCAGTGGTGATTTTGGAAAGTATAATTTTCAACACTTTATTGGGTTAGCCATGACAATATAAACAGTAAACAGCACAACAGTCTAAACCTGTTATAATGTGAAATTTAAGAATCTAGTGTGTTGTTGCAAAAACCTGCTTCTTCCTGTAGAACTGAATTTGCAATTTTGTAGCCCAACTGGCTGATTTCTGCAGAGCGGACCTGGTCTGCTCAGCAGACAATGAAGGTTGTTAAAAACTCGTCCACAGAATAAGAAGCTGTTTTCTGCAAATAGATTGAAATAGCTCCCGAATACCTTCCTGAAA